ATATATTATATATATATATATCAAAGATCTCATACTCATATATCACGTACTGCACAATTAGAGACTAAGAGAAAGCTTGAACGAATAAGGATATGAATCTCTCTTAATCTCATCATAAGATTTTCAAATTAACTCTAAATCGTTAGAATTTCGAAAGAAATATTAGAAAGAAAAGAAAAAATCAAGGAGTAATAATACTTTTATAATTTGAAAATAAATTCATTCTCTTAAGAAAACATATATGCCTAGAGGAAAAAAGTTTCACGTAATCATAGAATATTTTTTCTGACATATATATTTTAAGGGTGTTATTCTAAAATTTTATGTCAAAAATTCGATAAGATGAAAAAACAGCATAAATTTTTTAACAGATCCAAGTAACTTGTCTGAAAAGTAATTTCAGAAAAATGTGATACAATAAAAAAATTTCCTACATTACGTTGAAGAAAAAAGATTTTAGAGAAGGTCAAAGAGAAATATAGAATAAAGAATCCTATTATATCAACCATGAATCATATTGAACTTTCAGTCATGATTTAGCCTGCAAACTACATGTTTGAGATCTTTGAGTAATGTCCATGAACACATCAATCTTACATTTATAGATACTCAAAAATATCTTATATATTTACAATAAGATATCAATCAAAATATTCTCTTTCATATTGAATTAGAAAAAAAAGTAAGAAAAATATTATAATTTTTAAATCGTATCATTATTTTCTCTTAATAATTTCAACTATTTCATTGATTTTAATGTATTTAATAATCTGTATTTATATTAGCTCTTAATTAATGAATCTATTCTTGTTGATGCAATCTTGCCATAGTGCTTCTAACTTTTTGCAAAACTCCCGACATCTGTTCAAATTTGCCCGTTGAATCAGGTAAATTTTCGAAATTGATTACGTCAGAAATGTCTTTGGAAAATTTTTCTGACGATGGTAATTTATTATAAGGAGAGGTACTTGGCAATATTGGTGTACCTAAATGTACCGACTTGACACTAGCTTGATTTGTATCTGAAGATCTGTGGAAAGTAGAACGAATTGGAGTAGAATCAAATTGAGGCATTTTATCGGAAGCTGAGGTGTCCAATGTAATCATAGTGTTGAAATCATTTTTAAGTAATGTATCAGAACAGAACTGTAAATCCGACTTTACAGAATCTTGAACTGAAGATCTTCTCGAAGTACAAGGGGTAGTCGTAATACTGGAAAATGATGTTTCCGATACAAACGCAGTATTCGAATCGTTTTTAGTTAATATAAAATCAGAATTAGAATGCGAATTGACCTCTTCAATTTCCATAAGTAATACTTTTTTTGTTCTTTCTAATTCAGATAAGGATGGCGAATTTCTGTTCGAAGTAGTGTCGTCCTGAAAAGAAAATGCAATTTTGTAAACAAACGTCATTATCCAATATGTACACGCCAATTTTGATCAAATTTTTATTACTGAAAATACTTGCAAAATGATGAACAACATTATCCTTTTCATCGACAATCATCAATATGTTTAATAAGAAAAATTGGAATACATAGCAAAAATAAATAAGAAGTAAAGATATATAAGTTTATATGGAATTATTTAAAAGCACTTAAGATCCAACTTCGACCGTTATTTCGTATTACTTATTGTGTATTCGCATTATACAGTTTTAATATATCGTTTATTAAAAATTATAATGTTTATGAAAAACTGAAAATCGAAAAAATATAAAACAATTATACTATTCATATCATTTTGCAACACAAATGTTAGTAGTTATTTCCGATTTTTTATCCGTTGAATACAAATCCGTTGTCCAAATTTGGCCATCAATAATAATAAATATAATAGTAATAATAAAAAAATATATATATATAAATTAAAGATACAAAAACGACAATTTTGAAGATTTTTATGACGAAGGATTTTATTATTTAGCGTGGTATTAGCTTTATTACCTATGCTGCATTATAAATTGTCACTTTTGCATCACTGATACTTTTTTTTAAATTACGATGATAGTCGAATTTAAACAATGGATTCGTGTTTAGCAGGCAAAAATATAAATATCGAGAATGACTGTTCATATTCGTGTCGCAAAATAAAATTGTATAGTATAATTTTTTATATTATTTTCGATTTTCATTAGTTTTCCATAAACATTCAAATTTTTTGTATTAAATATTGATTTGTATTAAATATTGATCACCGATTAAATGGTTATCGTTGTTTATTATTTTGCAAATAATTTTCTAATAATAAAAGTTTCATCAAATCGGTGTGTATAAATTGAATAGTATTCATTATAAGATGCTTAAGAATATAATAATTGAAAATATAGTTCTTTGAAGACACATACTGCAGAATCGGACGAAGGCAATTCTTGCGACTGCGAATCTGAATCATCTGTTTGAGGTAACTCTGGCGGCGGTGGTGGTGGTGGTGGTGGTGGCACTTCCACCGTTTCTTTCGGTAATGGTGGTACAAAATGCCCATTAACAGACACATTCTCCACAATATTTTCTACTACAATAAAATAAAAAGAAATTATCTTTTATTTTTATAAAAAGAAAAAAACGAATTAAAATTATTAATAATATGAAATTAATGTTGAAATAATTATTCTTATATATTCGCTTCTTGCTGTAATTATCTTTTTAAGTAAAATTATATTAAAGTGATAATATTTATTCAATTGAAATATGATTAATAATTATACCTTCTGCATCTTCTACTTCCATATCACTGATTGTTGCTACATTTACATTAACTGGGGGAGGTAATTTCAGCTTTTTACGTTTGTAACCATCGTCTGTTTCTTTGCCTTGCAAATGTAATAACATTATCTCTTTACTATGTATAGATTGCATTTGCGGTACCCAATAGTTGTGGCTCTCCTATAATCGACAAATTTTAATGCTTACGATTTCGAAAACAAAAACGTTACAAGTTACGAGATAAGATCATTTTCATGTATCAATACTGATTATTCAGCTACACATTACTTACGTCTGAGGTATCAGAAGGAGGTAGCACGTTAAAACCAGGAAAATCATATATTTTTTTAATATCATATTGATCTTTATTTCTATTTGTGATGATTTCGCCTTCTTTATGTGTATCACTTTCCGCTATTCCATCAGAGTTGAAGAGCGATAAACCAGAATGTTGTAAACGTGCTTCTTCCAACCACCCTGGAGGGTAGCCAAGTAATCTCATTCTAAGAAAAAACGTTTTGGCACGTAGAATGAACCTTATTGGCCCATTGAATTGAGAAATATAAATCTTTTCTTTTATTTTAATTTAATTTCGTGTAAACTGTAAACGCATTTGCGTTTGCAAAAATTAGAGATCTCAAAAAAAATATTATATCGATTTAGAAATAGCAAACATGATATTAAAATTTTTTTAAATTTATTACTGATAATAAAAATATATATACATACATCGACTTAAGTAATATAAAGAAAAACATTTTTTCAAAATTCAATAGATTGCATAATAATGTCATACCTATATATATGCCTAGGTAATTGATTGTCTTTTAATCCAAGAGCCTTTCGCAATTTTTGGCTTAATTGACCAGGAATCATGTGACTAAATCTTTGGTCCTCACTCAAGTGATATCGGACTCCCATATTATGTTTTGAGGCAAATTCTTTACGTTTTTTATTGATATTGCTTTGATTTCTAGGCAACGGACAATCTCGCAAATTATGATTTCCATTACAATTAAAGCAACTTAATCTTGGCATGAAATCTTTTGATGTCTCATGGACTGATTCTTCAAATGTATTTTCATATTTCTAATATAAAATAATGTTATTTAAAATATAGAAATAACAAATACGAAATAGGATAACATTTGCCGTAAGTTAGAGTAAGAAATATCACACAGAGAGCAATTGCGATATTTCCTAATGAGAATAAAACTTTATATGATAATTATAAAAATATATGCATGTATATATATATATATGTATATATATATATATATATATATATATAACATAATCGTTACATATACGTATACATAGCTATATATGTATATATCTAATCTTGCCACAAATTTTGCTTTTTCCCTCTACTTTCAGAATATATGTATAATTTTGAGTCTATCTGTTGCTGTTTTTTTGTTCTAACTGTTTAAACTACTGACAGAATTTATGGCAAAACTAGGTACAAGAATAAGAAAATTAGTTAATAAGGAGAGGCTATGAACTGTCATCAATTTTTATGAATTTATATGACATTCATATGTGATAATAAATAACAAAACACACACACACACAATATGAAATCCTTTTACTTGTTTAAATATAAAAAAATTATTCTTGAGAAATAAAAACATAAAAAACATAAATTAAGAAAGATATTTAATGTCTCTAAAACAATTGGTCTGCACTTGAAATGGAATAATATTAGATCAGAAGGAACTCAACAAATTATTCATTAAATTTTATAGAATATGATAAAGAATAGTTCATAACCTTCTCTTGTAAGGTAGATGAATAAAAAAAGAGCACATTACCTGACCATAAGTAGGAATATCCATATCATTTTTTACATTCGGTTGTTTATCAATTGTAAATAAAAAATCAGATGTATCACTGCATTGTACATCATCGTTTTCTACAAACTTTTTATCTTTGGAATCAACTCCATCATCCCAAATTTCTAAAGTCAGACTTGACTCATGTGAGTCTTTCTTACGACGAGGTTTTGAGCGCACTAAAGTATACAAGAAGTCTTTTATTTGTCGCCGATATCGCCTGCAAATACATGAAATTCAATAAGAACTTAAATTCATAGAAAATTCAGTAATAATGAATATAATACTCTTATTTACATATCTCTATGTTTAATATTTAACAATACAACTATCCATAATTAAGTGTGTATCTATTTTTATTCTCACTCCCTGTAATTTGATATATAAAAAAAAAGGAAAAACGGAAAAGCAAATTAATTTAATTCTTTACATATTGCAGCAATGAAAAATCTTAAAAAATAGAAATGATTAATTTGATAAATTAGAAACTAATCATTTTGACTGCTCCAGTAAGTCTGATGTTAATGTGCGAAATAAATCATTATATTTATTACATATTTAATTCACACACGTTCAATAATTCATGTGTAAATTAAATAAATTATATTTCTTTATTAATATTTATTGTATCAATATTAATGCTTAGTGCCAAGACACTGCCGGGTCTCCTGATAAGTATATCACATATTATTCTTTTTCTTCAAAACATATATAAGAAAATAATAATGCTTATAATAAAAGTAATAACATTCCTATACGTCAGATATATCATTCTTGTAAAACCAGACGGAACAAATTCCCGCGCGCGCATTGTAAACAAAGCGCTGGAACGACAAGACGCACCTTGAGACACTCTCGTCACGAAACATAACCTTAAAAACGGGCTGCGAGTTCTTGTCGTTCGACCGAACGAATTGCGAATCTCTCCGCGAATGGACCCTCGTTTCAATCGTTTCGATGTCGTCCGGAGTCGAGGCGTGACTGGTGCTCTTCGTACTATAGACCTGAACTTCATCGTCGAGACAGGAGATAACTTTCGTGCTGTAACTGGTATCCAGCTCGATCACCTCCGTCTGCGAGTCTTCGATGATCGATGAGTCCAACGGAATCGTATCCATGCTCACATTAAACACACGGACATCGCTGTCCATCATAGACGCGCGACCTAAAGAAGCTTCGAAGTTTTCGCGCTCTGTTCTCAGGATGAGGTGCAAGAATACGATCAACGCTACACGTACACGATTATACCGACGCGTATATGCAGTGCACTGTGCAGTAGTATCTATGTATTGAAGTATTGGAATTTGGACGGAGCAGCCAAGCAGGACGGAGCAGTAATTGGTATTTAGCAGCTATAAATCCCCGCGCATGCGCAATGCGCGAGCAACGCTCAGATGCTACAATTTTGTTCATTTCTACCAATATAGATTAACTTTAACTCGATTTTACTTCACTTTTTATATAGATTTTACAAATTTTTTAAAAATAATTAAACTAAGGATTGCTGAATAGAAAAATGGAATTAAAAAAAATTGAAAATGAATATAAAAAAAAACAAAAAATCTTCAAATTTTAATGAAAAGTTGTACTGGGTGCATTCAGTACTACAACCGCTCACTGGGCATTCAATGAATTCTTGTACCTGTTTGGTCTATATTTTTAGATCTAACGGAATGTGCCAATCAGATGCAAAAGCTTACTGAGCGATTGTTGTTCTGAATGCACTCATTTGAAACGTTTTAGGAGCGCAAATGTGAATGTATAATTTACAAAATACAATTAAAAAATAAAATTAACAAAACATATATCAATAAAAAACATGAAGAAAGATTATTAAAGTTTTTGAGTTAATCTAAATATCCGCTATAAATCAATAACGTCATTATATTAATTCGAAAATATACACTTTTAAACTTGAAAATATGCACTCATGTGTTAGAGTGTCGACTGTGTATGTATGTACATATATCTTAGAACGAAGGGAACGAGATGAAAATTACAAAAGTGAATAAATTCACTAGATGTTGACCAATGTAGTTATAAATATTCTAATAAATTTCATTTCATTTTTATAATTTTCTTTTACCTCATTTTAAGAAATACAGACGTTCATATATCATTTTAAAATGACACATGGATAATTAATAATTATCCTTGATTAATATTTGTCGAACAAGGCTAAATGATTCGAGGGGACATTCGGGTGGGAAATTCGAGCATAGTCCAAGAATTTACTTTAAATTTTATAGTCGGTTTTTCATAGTCGATTCTTATTTCAAGACCGTCTTAAATAATATCTCAAGATGCTAATGCGGCCTTCTGATTGGTTCGTGATATCTTAACACTAAACTTAAAGACAATCTTGAATATAAGAACTAATTATGAATACCGGCTTATAATGCGATATAAATGCAATCGTTTTTTTCCGCAGTATAATGTTATGCAGTGTGAATTATGTAATTTTGTTTCGATTTATGATTATCGATTGCTCGCGAAATCAGCGAAATGACAAATTAATAAGTTTATTCCTTCATGAATATGCCGTTCTTGAAACCACAAAAAATTACATGGTGCAAACAGCGAATAGAAGCTTGCAAACGAAATGGCTGGCGACACGCTATATATTTCCCCGAGGTGAAACGTATTGCTAAAGCGTATTATAAGGGCGAATGGAGAAACGATAAGAGAGAGGGCAAAGGCATAGGAGTCAACAGGTATCACGAAGATTATAGGTCTGTTCTTTTTAGCTAAAATTCTCTTTTTCTCTCCAATGTGGACAGAAAAGGAAGAAAGATGAACCATTCAGCTAAAAAGAACAGGCCTTATATTCGCTGGAAGTTCTTCCCATTTAACATGAATCGATAATATCAATTTCACTTCATCTAATGTTTCTATACGAACAAAACACGCGTAAAAAATTATTATTAATATGATAATCGTAAGATTTTTTTTACAAAAAGTATAAATTTTATAATAGAATGTAAGTTATCCTTTCTGTGATGAAATATACTCTTTTTCTATGGATCAATTACGTTTTAATTACCAATTAACATAAGGGATAGAAAAGAGAAATTAAGAAAAGTTATAAAAATAATCAAAGAATTATATAAATTTTGTAATATCTTAATGTGTATTAATTAATACACATTCTGAACATTAAAAGAACTATTCTATTAATAATTTAATTATTATACTAAGATTGTTTTACGTTAAATATATAAAAGCATAGAACGTTTACTTTGTATCTATCGATTTAACATCATAATTCTGTAAATTATTATACAATGGCTGCCAAAAGTTTCCGGTCATTATAATACAATTTTACAAATTGATAATTTTTATCAATTTGTTTTTCTTATTATAATCAACTTCAGAATTACGACATTTCGAATATTAACAATAAAGATATCAAGTACTTGTATATTAGATCTTTATACAAATTCTTTATCCGAGCAATAAAATTAGTAAACTTATGGCAATCATTCTATGTTATACACTATAACTTATTAGGTGTTGGAATTAATTCGTAGCGTTTTTTAATGAAAGAATGTTATTTATTTCACATGAGCATTAAAAAATACATTAATGAAAGTACTTCCCATCACTTGTAAAACGCTACGAATTAATTCCAACACCTAATATATAATATCCTGCTTGCTCTTCGCAAGATTATGTGCTATCCAAGCTGCCGATATTTCGTTCGCTATTTCGTTAGGAATCATTCCTTCGCAGTTACGGTTGGACATACGAAGGCGACTGGTACAACGACTATAAACACGGTTACGGCGTCCTCAGTAAAATTACGCAAGACGACTATGTGTGCAAGGTGTACGCCGGCAACTGGGCGAAAGGAAGGAAGCACGGATTCGGAAGTAATTGGTACAAGGACGGCAGCTACTATGAAGGCGCATTTCGAGATAACAAGCGGGATGGTTACGGCCGGATTTGGTACAAGTGCGGCAGCGGATATTACCAGGGCATGTGGCTGAACGATCGTTACCATGGAGAAGGGATACTCATTCAAGGTTGCGATTAGTTAAGAAACAAAAAAAAGTAGATGTACATGTGAAATCTAGAACTGCTTCGCAGAATGAATCCGCTTAAAAGTCTTTCTCAATTTCTTTTTAATTACGTAATACATAGAACAAAAAGTAATACATTTTTCTTAGCATCCTTAGCTTGTGTTTGATTTTATTCTTTGCGTTTGCGAAAATTGTGAATTATAAATTACATTATTCCTCATTCAAGGCGCTTCATACTTATCTTCAAGAAATCCCTATAAATATTTATCTTAAAATCTTCATAGAAAACGGTAATCTTTACGAGGGTCACTTTACAAATGGCAAGAAGGAAGGTCGAGGTGTTTTCTACCATTTAGAGAAACATCAAGTACAGGAAGGTTGTTGGGAGAATGACGTCTGCGTGAACAGCACGATAGAAGACATCCGACAGCCAGCTTTATCTCCGATATTGCACATTCCGAGGATAAACAGTCGACCAGTAATGGTCGACATAATGGTTTCACGTTTCAATGGCCTTTCTCGCATTCGCGGAAAATGGAAAATATAACATGTGTACATGTGATTTCTACAATTTTTTTATTTTAGTAAAGAGAATTAATGAAGAGAATTCATTTTTAATTTTTATTTTGGCAATTAGCGCATTTCACGCGCTAAAATGATATGTACAAATAATAATCGGATATATACATGATGTCCCACCCAACGTATCTCTCTTTCATCTTTGCAGGGTAAGCACAAATCCCCCTCCAAACTATACTTTTGTATGAACATATTTTTGATTCGATCTTATCTTACAAAGATGATGGCACGTATAGCTTCAGATGCAGGGTGGTCGAATCGCGATCTGAAGATCCGGATTCGATTCCATACGTGCTCTATACACATTTTTCGCGTCTGAATATCACCGTTCCATCCAGTTGCTGATTAAGAGGCAATCATCTGATGTTGCTCCATCTGATATGGATCATCTGCTTAAGCAGGAATAATTAACAACTTGAAAAAGGCTTAAGGCCATGGCATTCTGACGAACCTCATATCGAAGCTTTACTACTTTAAGCTGATTCGAGATAAAATTTGTGATATATACTAAGTGTGTCCCTCAGAAGGATAAACACTATTATCATCGCATGGTACTATGGTCCTATATAGTGTGGGCTGAAAAACCAATTCAAAAAGGAATTCAAAGAAGAACCCTGCAAAAATAGAGTGATCATATTGGGTGGGATATCCTCTATTATGTTCGTACAGCACAGAAGTTTTCAGCAATATTGCTGGAACGTTTGCAATGTTACTGCAATATTGCTTGAACCTTACAATGTTGTTACAATGTTGCTGGAATGATCTGTGCTGTGTGAACGTTTTCGACTTTCATTTATCGAAATGTAATATCGAATGATATCGTGTACATCCGAATCGCCGCTTTTTGATATTTCATTTCTTATTTTTACGGCAGTCAAAATATTTGAATACAGTGTACACGAGAATAATGTACTTGACGTGCTAAAAAATGATAAGCGAAACTGCTATCTATTTAAGAAAAAATCGACTTTCGTGTGTCGGCGATAGCAGAAAGTGTCAGATATAATGTACCTGCCTAGTATAACGTCACTTAATAAATGTAAAGTCGCGTTTCTCAAATAAGCACATTTTTCGAAAGATAAGTACATTTAGGTACATAGCCAGTCATGTCACCTCTCGATAATTCAGACTATTATATTATCGCTTTTTGCACTGTATACAGCGATAACACGCGGAAGGATCTGGTAATAGCCTTAAAGTATACTATTCTTCCTATGTTTTAAGTCGCAACGCGAATGAAGGAATGTATTTTATGCCTACATATACAACGATGTTATCGAACTTCGTATCCTTCCTTTGCACTAACGTGCGCATCGTGCAGATGAGCGAAGTCTCATCGCATTTATATTAATTTACATCACAGAGAAACACGCGTATAAAAAAAAGAAGAGGAAGATCCTTATCTTTTGACCAAATCTTCGCAACATCTGTAGCGCGTGCCGAAAACAATATGTGTGAAGAAAACAATTGTCTGTCATGTTCTTCGAATGATTCACGTTCGAAAGATTTTCCTGGCAGAATCCTCCGAGAAACATCGCAACACGTCTGTCTTAGAAAAGATCTCTATCTCTTTGTCTCTATTTCTCTTTCTCGCCGTGCGAAATTCCACGGAGCGGAAATTCTTTTTTATCGCGTTCGATTCGCGAGTCCAATTTCGGCGGCAGGAAAAATTGCGAAGACCGATTCATACGATATGCGTTACTCCGGTCTGCAAAAGATTCACGCCATTTCTGCCCTCTACATCCGTGGACTCGATCTGTTCCTTGAGTAACTCGAGTTCTCGTATGCCGGATACCGTAACTTCGTACTTGTGCGCAACGAGACTCCGATAGAAATGTATCGCGAACGCAAGAAAGATTATCAGCACTGGTATCAACACTATGCAGGCTGACCAGGCAGCGACCTGCGAAAAGTCATAGAACTTCACCCAGCAGAGTATCGCGATCTCCAGCAGGAACAGAAGGAGGCCTAGCAGCGTGGAGAAGGCCCACGCGACCTCAATGTACCAATGTAGACGCTCATGTGGCGACTCGTGCACAAGGCTTATACTATGCAGATTGCAGACGGCTTCGATATTCGGCAGTATACAAGTGGATATCATCAGCGCCAACATATGCACGGCTACGAGCAAGGTTGTGCACACGGCGAAAGCGATCAGCATCTCTGGTGGAACATGTGTTTCGGGATTCAGCTGCACCTCTACCATGGCGACCTGTGGACAATGACCGATCTTTGTCGAGAAATTACCTCAGCGCATTTATTATCCGATTAGTATCGAGAAACGTCGTTAATCTACGTATCTTTCTCGTATGGTTTATTTTTTAACGTAATTACTCGCGTGAAGTAACGTTTCTGACCCAAACATTATATGTCAATTTTCATTATTCTCTTTAATGATTTACAAATTAAATAAAGATTGATAATTCTATATTTCTTCAGGTATGAATAAATGCAAAAATTTTAAATCGTGCAACAATTTGCGCCAAATATAATAATGCATATAAAAAGCATACATTTAGTAGTTTTATAAATAACTTGATGAGCGATTTGATGTCTTGGACAAACTACGCGAATAATAAAAGGACAATAAATGCTAAATAAATGTCAAAAAACATTCCATTTAGATTCCATCAACTCGTTGCATATTCGATTAGGAAGCAAAAAACAAATATATAAAATGAAGTTCGAAAGAATCTATCTAATGAAGAATATAAAAAAACCCATCAGAGCCTACATCAGCTATTCGGATACACAGAAAACTCTTTATTTTCGTGTGAATGTAACAAAATGAATAATAAATGTTTCGGGACCTTTCAATTCGGTCTGATTTATATTTCGATTTATTTTTTATATTAATAAGGATGACAGCTGATATAGGTTCTGATGGGCTTTTTTATATTCTTCAGTGAAGCAATAAAATTAAAAAATATGATATAAAACTGAGTTTCTTTCGAAAATATTTAAATATATTATAATATTTAACACCTAATATTTAAATACGTATTACAATTTTATACGCGCACGTGGGTATTTTTTATTTGCGCAGATATTCGTTAGAGAAATATTCGCGTTGATGAGTTAGTTCAAACAATACAAATCGCTTCCGGAATTATGCTCTTCAATTCACAGAGGTTTTTTTTTCATTTCCGTGTAATTATTACAAAACGATGTAATCTATTATGGTTAGCTCGATTAATTAATCGCGGAGGATGCGGATACGCGTCTCTATAGAGGGATCGTGATAAAAACTTATCGCACTGAATGGTCCGACGAAGGACCATTTCGTTTCCGGGAACGATGTTTTCTTACCATAGCGAAACCGGAGAGCAGGGCTGATGTTTTACTGGACGCCTTGAGCTTCGCGCGGCTCAGCTGCAATTTTCTCCAGGACAAGTAGCCCGGTGTGTGAAGGCCATCTCCCGCTTGCGACATCGTTGACTGTGACGAACAAAACGAAGGCAGAGATAACAAATTATAGTTTAAACTGGATGGAAGGGCACGCAATCGTAGGAAGAGATATGTGATCGCGTTCTCATTGTCTCACAGAGAGGCGGGGAGGAAGGGATACTATAAAGCGCTTGCGACACTTGACCTTGCGATTTCACGGGGGATAAACTCTTCGTGGAAGCTTAAGCGCGAGTAAAAAAAGAGAGGCACGTACCAGAAATCGATGGCAACGTCGGTGCCAATGGGAGAACTTGCCAAAAGTCCCGCAGTAGTAGGACAAAAAACCAATGGATGCTGAACGAAACAAATAATAAGGAAAATTAAATTAATGAAAAATGTAGAAACGAAAACGGTGGCTGAATACGTTACGGCGAGATCTGACTGTATCTTGCAGGAGGTCTGGCGAGCATGAGGACGAAGAAACACGTGCACGCACGCACGCACACACACACGCACACATACACACACTCGTTTACATGCACACATATTATACATAGAAACATTGCGTGCGAGAGAACACTTGATGCATGCATTAACGAGACTTTACGTCATGACTCAATGTTTCACATATTCTCCGGGAAGATGTTATTCCATTTAATTTAATCGCCGATCTTCACGCGATTGAGATTTCCGGTTGGACGGAAATGTTAGCGAGACGTTAAATAGAAGATAATGAAAAAAAAGTATACATAGAAAATAATGTGTATGAACGATATACAACCATTGTAAAATATTGCGACATTTACAAGCATATCTTGTACAAAATGAATGCTTTCGAAATATTCTCGATGCTTTCATCAGCGTTTCGTATGATCTTTACATTCATGTCCAAATCTAACGATTGAATGTAGATATTAATAAATATAATATCAAGAAATACAAACTTATGATATATGATTAAATAATATTGTTGTTTTTTTTTACCTACGTCAAAATGTATCATTCCGTCTTGATATGTCTTGAGAAATGACTGACGAGCGAAAAAGAAACACGTTGTCACACGATACTATCTTTTGTTTGTTTAAAGCTAAGAAAGAGATATATGTATTCAATGTCAATCTGTTTAGTTCAACAACTCGATGTACACAGGCAAGCAGTTCCAAACATTTGCACTTACTCGCAAGTTGCACGCCAGACAACACGTATGTATACAATTAGAATTAAAGAAAGAGATATTTAAGATATTTTATATTCTGGATTTTGTGTTATCTAAGATTGCTTCGACTTGTATATGTATATGTATCACATTAATCAGATTATTCACATTTCTTCCGTCAATTTTTTTTTCATGAACAATAAACAGGTGATTATAATAAACACGTGATCAGCACCTGGCAAAACCCACATTACGTATACCAATAAGTAAAAAAAAGAGGATGCATACATAATGAGAACGTCGCATATCTTGTATCATTATTTGCAGATACGTATGTTTATCTAATTTTATACCGTTAATCGCAATAAGCTCACAATAATCGAACAAGCAGCTCCCGAAGAAACAAATGCACATAAATTTTCTTACCATAACAACGATTAATTAACTATCATTATTTGAAATCTACATTGCACAATTGAATGTACCGACATATTGGTAATATATCTCATTACTTTCGGAAATATATTTCATTCGATGAAAACAGTTTGCCACGAATTGCAAATACAAAGGCAACTCAGTCTTCGCAGCGTGCAAAGAAAAAAAAGGGGAAGTACAATATTACGACGATATCGTTACGAACGACATCCGGATAATTATCAGTACGTAACATACATGCAAAGTGAAGAATTGAAGAATATGCGACTAATTGCGCGTTCAAAGTCAGATATAACAACGGTGTTCGAAAAAATAGCATATAATTCGTAATAGCGTTTTTCATTGGTAAAACTAGTGCGTACTTAATGCACTTTAAGGCTGTTGTTCACAAATCGACATAAAGAGGTACGTTTAATAAAAATATAGAAACAAATTAAACCGCGAAATAATTCAATACATTTTATTGTATTATTTGAAAATAAACATTGGACATTTTATCATACACATTGGACATTTTATCAATTAAGATATCTCACTTTTACATTTATATTCGAATAGTTACAATAGATACAAGTTGACGCGCACTAGTTTTGCCAATGAAAAACGCCATAAGTGAAAAGAATTAAAAAAAAAACACGCATTTGTCATCCGTGAATGACATTAATCACAGTGAAGCTGACGGTATCGCATTGACGCTCAATCACATGATCGAATTTGAAGTAAAGTATTTTATTTTAAAGAAATAATTTCGCTGGTAATTGTATACCAATGTCACTGAGACTTCTGTTTTTATAAAATCATAACGTTGTAAGCTTTAATTATATTGGTACTGAACGTTGAGAAAAAAAATTTTTGCATCTGTAATTATAATTACTTGTTAGTACAATTATGGTTGGTTTATTACTGTTGTAATATTAATAATAATAATTATATATTATATTGTTGTCTCAAAAAATATTTAACAAAATAATTGCAATTATTTTATGGTACTAATAACTATACCCAAATAACATGTTGCATAAGATAATCAAAAAGCCATCTTTTAGATATCTTATGCAACATAAATATTATTTGAATAATTATAGTCATTTTCAGTTGTCGACAATATACATGTTATTAATGCATATTGAATGAGAACTATACATATAGTTATTATTGCTAACACTATAGCAATAATAATCGTATTATGTAATACATACAATTATAGTTACAATTCTTCTCTCAGTGTAAATTAATCAATAATATACCGACATTAGTATTATTACCGATTCATTAATAAATTAATTAAATTCGTTATCATATAAAATTGGTATTGTTTATACCGTTTTAAAAATTCCTGCTTTAAAGCGGCGTTAAAGGTATTATTATGAATACGAAGAAAACAGATCTATTACGGACTCAATGAAAACAGTTCTACGTGTTAGAATCATGAGAAATCTAATGTATATTGATCCTGCTACAATCTTATTATCGAACATTTCGATTTATCGATCGGAAAATTTTAATAACAGACTACAATTTTTTAAACATAAAAAATATGTATTATATGTACATAAATTAAAAAATTGAGCTAATCTTAATTTTTCTCTCATTTATGTAATTGCGCAATAATTAGACTTGATAAAACTTTATGCGATTTAATACATTATTTTATGTAGTAATGAAAGATAAAAAAAATAATTGAGTATTTTTATGTAAGCAAAATGGGTTCATTGATTAAAAAAAAATAACAAACTTAATAATTCTATCAAATCTTAATAATTTCTATCAATATGCGAATATTGTGAGAAACGCATTACATGTTTAAAAGTAGAATACTCCAGAAATAGAAACGACTGTTGTTTATTACGTAGAGTAAATTGGAGAATTCGATAACAAAAGAGAAGAATTAATAATCATTTAAAACTTAATAATCATTTCATTCGTCTCTTTTATTATCGATTTCTTTAATTCACTCTGTACAATAAATGAATAATTCTAATTTAGGAGAATTTTACTTTTACAAAAAATTTCTCAATATCGCGTATTGATAGAAATAAATAAATATAAATTGAAATAACAAGTAAATAATTGTAAATAATTATTTTAAAAAAGTAAATATTTCATATATAATCATTATACAAAAATAGAAAATTTTTTTATTTGAATGTTGTGAACATGAAATAAACATTCACTATTTATATCGTAAATATTTATATCTCACACATACAGATACCATTATATTATATATATCATTATATGTATTTGAAATTTAAAATTTTAATACTTGTGCTAACAAAGCATTCTCAGCGAACATGAGAGAAATAAAGTTAACATTCCAATTACTTATCCTGCAAGTTTCCCGGTAATAATAAAAAGAGCATTAATTAGCTCAAATCATCCGGAGAATACCGGGAACGAGAATAGTAATGATATAATGACAAGCGAAATAAGATATAGATAGTCAAAGTGGCAACAGCACAGAATGAACGGAGGAGGGAAAGAAACGTATACATAGGCGCGTAACGATAGGCGCGTATTCGCGCAGCGAATGACAAAGAAAGGATCTCTGCCGTGGAGAAGGATCAGCTAAGGCAAGTCTACCGACCTGACAATGATCGTGGAACGGTTTGTGAAAGCAGTGACCGTCAGCGTTGCGCAGGTGTTCGTGCACCACGTGTACGTGGGTCGGCAAATGCGAAGAGGGGAGCACTGCTCCGCTGCTCTCCGCGCCAAACAATGAATTTCGTCCGGTGCTGGTCGACCATACGGACATCAGGCTTGATCCTTGCGCTGCTCTGTCCGGAGCTGCAATGAAATCAAAATGAATAAAAAGGTTTCCCGTGTGCGATCGTACAAAACGGCGGTGGTGCTACCGTTCAAAAAAATGGAATACCGAAGATAAATAAAAATGAAAGTAGGATATAAAAAAAAAATCTAGGTTTATTCAGATTATGAGATATATCAAGGATATATGCGACTCGAGATATGACATTTCATTTTTTGAGATGTCTATTTCTTCCTGACGGATATAGTAATATAATTGTTTCGTTCCTCAAATATAGTGGCTAATAAAAAAGTATCGTTTGAATCTTATTAAACTTCAAGAGAGACAGGAGATTTGTATGCTTTAATTGGCAAATATGAATTTATTTCAGAGAAAGGAATAAATATATAAACATAATTTTCCGTTTAAATATTATTTATTACTATATTCATAATATAAAAAATTAATTTGTAATATAAAATTTGTTAAAAATATTTTGTTTTACAGATTTAACTTAAAAAAGACGTTTAAAAAATGTTATTACATAAAATAGTAGCAACATAAACAATGTTTACGTGAAAATTAAAGTTTTACGTTTATGCAGTTGTTATCATTTTGTAACAACACTTTTTAAAGATCTATTTTAGGTTCCATTTGAGGAGTAAAGTGTCTTAAGGAAAATAACTAGGTGATTAACAGATTATTTCTTCAAGTCATGCAATTGTGGTAAAACGCAAGACCTCAAAATTTTTAGGCCTGTCTTCAGTGATAGAAAGCTTCTATATTTTTAATAAATTAATTTGAATTGCAAATAAATTTTCTACATCTCATGTAGTAGATAGTAAACCTAAACGTAAAACTGTCCATTAATTATTTTCCTTAAAACAAATTCACAAATTTCGCCTTTAATTTGATCTCCTGTTCCTTAAATGTTGGAAGTTACGCATATTGTATTAAATATTTCCTTGTTGAATAAAAATATATACACATACAGGGAGTCCCGAATCAAATTCCACAGAAAATTTTCAAAAAAAAAAGATAAAAAGGTATTTCTCTTTTTTTTTTGTTTTAAGTAATAGTTTTAAAATTGACCAATTAGAGATTACGGATAAATGGTTGTCTGTCCATGAGTCGCACATCGATAGCGTTAACAGTGGGTACTTTCCATTTAGTCACACAAGTCGACACAAACATCATTCTATCTTCTTCGGAGAGTAACAAAGATAGGCCAACACTTATGTCGACTTGTGTCGATTTGTGTCATCAAACGGAAACCACTCATTGGTGCGTGGCGACTCACAGGTAAACAGCCATTTAATCGTAATGTAACGAGCCAATTTTAAATTTTTATATCTCAAAAACTACTTGAAACAAAAAAATGATAAATATTTAAACTTATTTTTTTCGAGAACCTTATTGTGGTATTTTGATTTAAATCGAAACATCTTATATATTAAAATTAAAACGATGAAATAAGATAGATACATAAAATCCAATATATATATATACAATATATATATA